TCTATGCACATTGTCCATTTCATACTCGTATTCATTTCATTCTTGAAATTATGTCACATGGTCCTGTAAAAGTTTTATCTTGGCCTTTAACCGAAACCACGAGGTCATGCAAATCTTTGTTGAATTTGCCCTATTTTTATACCCTCCACCATTCTATGGAGGGTATATTTACCTTTGCCCTTCCGTTTGTAATTCCTCGAACGATTTATGATAGACCCTACAAAGTATATATATTCTGGATCAGCGTAAAATTCTAAGACGATTTAGCGACGTATGTCTGTCTGTTGTAATCACATTATCTTTCCTGAATTTAGATAGAAGTTTAAAATTTTGCACACATGTGTATTTTGCCAGTAGACAGGTTATGTTCGTAAATAGGCCATGTTGGTCCACGTTTTGGTATAGCCCCCATATAACGGTAATTCACAATATTCGGTGTTTTAATGATTTAGCGACATTATTCACCGACATTTTTTAAAGTTTTGTATTTAATGTTCGTAACGGGTGGTACAGCCTAAGACAAAATGTTTCGTCTTCGTATAGCCCCCATATAACGGCTATATTGGAAGATTAATTGGTACTACAACCTATGACAAAAAATTACTTGTGCAGGTCCACGTCTTCTTTTTGCTTTATGGTAATTTTTAATATTCGAACACAATTTTATACGTAACTTTTGATGGGATTGGATTATTTGTGGAAAACTCAATTGAATGCTTGCGCAAAATAACTCAGACGAATTGAAATACAAAACCTTCCGAGATAATTATTGAATTGCATAAAATTTAAATAAATAAATCTTTTAATTTAACCCATTTAAAATTTTTAAAATCTAAGTTAATTTCGTAAAACGCCAGCAAACATATGCAAGAAGGTATTTAATATTTCTATAAACAAATATTTCTAACAAAATATACATAGTATTCAATAGAAAACTATGTGGTAAGAAAATTTGGTTGCAGAATCGTTTTCAAATCACGGTGCTTCTCCTTGTAAATAATTTGCAGACGGATATTGAAGTTTTTAATGTAAATAATTTAGCAGATGATTGAAATATCTTAAAATTAAATTTTTATTTAGAAAATCGAATTCAAATTTACATTATTGTATCCCATACATATATCTCCAGAAGTCAATTTTTCGAGCTATTTCGAATAATTTATACATTACTCGTTTACTCGTTTGAACAATGTTATAAAAATTTCATTAAATGAACTTAGAGAAAAGTTGCGAGTGCTTCTGCAATGCTACCGAGAGATCAACAAATTAAATACCAATTCGATAAAAATAAACAGGTGAAGATTTCTAATTAACAAATAACGTCCTGACACACAATTTATAATCTTCTGCGTCAGTTTTCAATTTCGAACAGTTTATTCAAAACAAACTCTTTTAGCATTGCCAATGGGTTATTCCCTTGACGTTCATGCCTTAAGTGCCTTTTAGATTCAAAAACAAAAAGGAATTTTTTAATTGATTATCGGATATTTATTATGCAATTTTTATATGTATAATTACTAGTTTTAGAATAATGCATGCAAAACCTATGGTAGTTTATAGTTAGATTAAGTACCAACAAGCAAGTTTCCATAAATACAAATATCATCATTTTTTCAAACTTGTAGAGCATGAATCGGATCCCTGTTAATATTCCAAAAGATTACAAATCAGTTCAAACACATGTAAGGGAATTGAGGACATAATTAAATTCCTAAAACAGAGCGTTAAATTTTCTCTCAATTTGGTTAGTTTCAATATTTGTTGTATTTGCACAGATTTTTTTAGCGGTCTTAGTCTCCATAAAATTGCATATAGAATTCATCTCTGCGTATTCTATTGACCTAAGCATCTTGAACATAATTAATTATCGACTCCTTGGCTTGAATTTTTATGACTACATAGGTTTTTTTTGTCTTGGGTAGACGATGACCTTAATTGGTCCCAACTCAATGCTACATAAAGGGTCCACCATTTTTTCGTAGTTTAGAGTTCAGCGCCCCTGCTTTGTACAGGGTGAGATAAAAAACCACAACAAAGACAAACGCTATAATTTTTACATTTTTTTTTTATTTTATTGAATTAAAGCAAAAATGCCGGGAATAGCATCAAATTTTAGAATAAAATTAGATTTGTTACAATTGGTCACCTTTGGCACGAATTATGGCCCATTCCGGCGAAGCGCTTGCTTGAGGTGATCGACACTTTGGTATTTTTTAGTCCCAACCTTGCTTCCCAAAATACTTTAGAAACAATAATGCAATGGATTGGTATCCGGAGATTTTGGTGGCCATTGTGCGCGGGAAATGAAGAAATTAACCTCATTTTGTAACCATTGTTTGGTGGCGCGTGCTGAGTGCGATGGTGCTGAGTCCTGCTGGCATGTCCAAGGTCTGCGGCCAAAATGTTTGCCTGCCCAAGGCTTCAATACACCCTCCAGAATATTTTCGCGATAATGTTCGGCATTTATTCTGATGCAACGTTCGATTAATACGAGCGGAGAGCGATCATCGGCTGTTATGGCAGCCCACACCATCACCATGGCCGGCGCTTGAGTTCTGGTGGTCAATCGAAGATGCACATTTTCAGCTGACATCTTTGGCAAGTAAACACAATCGTTTTATTTCCTAAAAAACTGCTGGACAAAGATTGTTTTCACATCCGAGAAAACCAAATTCGGCAGTTCACCACTTTCGTTCAAGCCAAGTAACTCTTTAGCTCTTTTGAATTTCAATGGCTTTACCCCGAGATCATTTTTCAATATTTGCCGAATGGAATATTTCGATATGTTCAACTCACTAGCCATTTTTCGGCCACTTCGTCGCCAGTTTCGATCAAGTCGCTTCTTTGTTGTTGTTTTTTTCCGTCCACTTCCTTGAGGTCGAGCTACGCTACCAATACCACGGTAACGAGTGATGGTACGAGACACAAAAGATTTATTCACATCTAAGGATAGCCACTCGTGGTTTTCCATCAAAATATAAAGAAATCACACTATCACGCCTGAATTCCATGACGAATAACTTTTTTTCTGGAAAATTCTCACTAAAATGCTTTTGTAGCTTGTAAAGAATATAATGAGCTGTTACTGGAGTAATTTTAACAGCTGTCGGACGAGTAGCGTAGAAATGACAGCAGTCTGAATTTGGTTGCAGTTTTTTTCATCTCATCATCCCTGTATTTTTTAATTGCAACCAACTCAGTGGGAAAATTGTGTCTCAAAATACTGTGAACAACAAAATAATGTACAAAGAGGAGAACTCTGTTCTTGGATTCCGAAATATGTGAAAAGATACCTCCTTAAGTTTTTATTTTGATATTCAAAGAAAAATTACATTTTTGAGATAAATGATCTGATGTTATAAGATAAAATTTTGGATATATGAATCGCAAAGTGGCTTACTTATGTCCTCATGTATTCAGTTGCTGTCCTTGAGTAGGTGCTGTGCTCTTGGCCAATTCCATTTTATGAGATTGTGAAAAAAAGGCAGAGAGGTAGCACTATGCGATGTTTCACTGTTGTTTTAGCGGGTCGTCAATTATATTTGCATTATAATGACCTAAAACGGGATTTATTGTAAATTAAAGTTTTATAGTTTTTGGAGAATGACTCAGGAAGACTATTAATCAATATTAATGGTGGAGGGTATATAAATAAAAATGTAGGCTTAACAAGTAAAAAACATTAAGTTCGGCCGGGCAAAACTTTTAATACCCTCCACCTTAGGGTAAAAGAAACATTAGAAAAAATGTGGCAAAAACCATAAAAATGCCGAATATCGGGAGGTACCGTTATATGGGGGCTATATCAAATCATGGACCCATACATGCAATGTTTCGCCACCGAAGCTGGAACCCATTATGACCAACAAATACCAATTTTCAGACAAATCCGTGAAAAAAATGTGGCATAAATCATCAAAATACCGAATATCGGGAGGTACCTTTATATGGGGGCTATACCACAACGTGGACCTATACATGCAATGTTTTGCCACACGCTCAGGGACCCGATATGACCTACAAATACCAATTTCCAGACAAATCCGTGAAAAAATGTGGCATAAATCATCAAAATACCGAATATCGAGAGGTACCGTTATATGGGGACTATACCAGAACGTGGACCGATATATCTCATTTTCAATACCAACCATCCTAGACACAATGCAAATAGCTCTGCTAAATTTTGGCGCTCTACGTCAAATAATGTGGGCTGTATCGTGATTTCAACAGACAGACAGACGGACAGACAGACAGACAGACAGACGGACAGACAAACAGACGGACATCGTTAAATCGACTTAGAATTTTATGCTGATCATGAATATATATACTTTATGGGGTCAAAGACGAATATTTAAGGATGTTACAAACGGAATGACAAAGTTAATATACCCTCCTTTCCAAGGTGGAGGGTATAAAAAAAATCTCATCTTAATGTAAAACATTTACGAACAGGACTCATAAGGTGGCAATAGGCAGCAAACATATATATAATGTCATAATTCCAGTATTTAACCTATGGCGAATTTGACCCTGAACTTCAATATATTCATTAATACTTTATATGTCAATGTCCAACATTGGTTCTAATCCAGCGTTAGGTTCATGCTCCTCTACTACACATTACACAAATTACGTTTTTCTACTTTCATATCATTGTAGAAATAAATTTAGACTCCCCCTTCCATAATATATTATCATATATTAAAAATATTACTACATTTGCCATGGCAGTTATTAAAATAAAATATTGTTAATTTTCATTAATAAATGTAATGCATTTTAAATTTGGTTTTTAGTATTCTTATGAAAATTGCATATGCAAATTACATTTTTCGATTTTCATTTGTCTTGGCTTTAAATTATTTGTAGTACGAGAGCCATATAATACAATGCCTTTTTAATATACAAAATATAAAAAACAACAAAAATGAATACCAGCTAATTTGTTAAATCGAAACAAAACTTTACAAATTTCCTACTTTACAATTCTGAAGGGAACTACAGCTGTCTTAGAGTTGATTTAATATTTACCAGAGATCGAGCATTCTATTTCACCACCGTTTTTATACCTGGCATAATATTGGTGACGTCATCCTTTATAACATTCTGGTTAGAATGGAATGCTGTTCCGGCTAGATCCATGATAGGTAAAACAACCAAACACCTGTTTCCATATCGTATCGTACCGAAAAAACAAACAACCCCCACAACAAAATCAAAACCATAACCGAATCAACACACCCAAACAGTGAAACCAACAATAAATTCAACATCCCAACTCCAACTTAACGTTATCGAATTATTATCATTTTCACAATCAATCATGATTCAATGCAATACCTTTATTTTGACAATTTGAAACCTAAAAAAAAACACTGAAAATTTTCAAAGATACTTTATTTCGTTTGTTTCTTTTTTATACACCAGCATTTCTCCTCATGGCCACTGAAATATATTCTGCGTTAAGGCTTTGAATGATTTAAGCCCCCTTCCCCCATTCTTTAGTAGTTTGAATCATATCAAACCCATTTAAATGCCTGGTAGCCTAATTTAATATTAGCCTCGTTTTAATTCATTACCGTATCTTCTTTATGCATTTTAAATTATTTGATTTCGATACAAGAAGTCAACCACTACCACTGCATTTTCTTTTGATTTTCTCCCTTAATTTTGTATTATTTTAACATTTATTTTTTCATCTTTCAAATTTTTTCACTTTTTTTCATTGTCATTCCTCTCACTTAAGAGAAATACTCAAACGGACACTCTGTGCTCTGATTCTTAATCATTCTATGTCCGAAACCCTACAAAACACACACATGAAGAGTAACCAATATTGGAGACAATATCATTGCAACTAATCGGAATTAGACTCGCTTATTTCTAAAAAAGTTCTCTGAGAACGTAAAACATATTTGGATTGCATCACTACAAAAACAAAATCAACAGTCAACCCAATAAAATAAAAAAAAAAACACTCATTGAGGGACAACCTACATTCGAAAACTTGAAAACAAGGACCACATTTTTTCAAACCACTGCAATATTTTTGCCATTCTTTTATTTAGTTAATATTGTTTTTTTGCATGAACCCTTTTTGATACTCGAAATATATAATTTTTAGTTTCAAAAAAAAAGTGAAAATAAATTTGCGCGTCATAATAATAGAATACGAATTGAATAAGCTGAAAATCGATTTTGTACAGGCTTTTGGATAGAGTAAGGGCATGGCATGGCATGATAGTCGGTGTAACGAGACTTTTGGTGTTATGTTCGGAAATATAAAGGGATGATTCTAATACTACGTTTTGCAATTATCTCTAAACGGGTTTCCAGCTCCAGTCGTCGAATGCCTAGCTAAACCGATTTGAACAAAGGAACAGGCTATAGCTCTAATATTCTTATTGGTTTGAAATATTAAAAACAAATATTTAAGTGTTGTTTGCAATGGTTTAAGGTTAAACAAAATTCCCTAAGTAAATTTCAATTAAATCGTCTGAAAATCCACAAAAGAAGTTCTTTCTGAGTACTTTACCCCGTGGAAGAGTATTGTCTCTAGGTCCACGATATCGTATATCCCCCATATAACGATACCCCTGATATTTTTTACGATTTTAGGGACATTATTCACCGGAGTGGTTTCAAATTTCGTATTTAGAATTCGTAATGGGAACTACAGCCTATAACAAAAAATTGTATATGCAGGCTCTCGTCTCCATATAGCCGCCTCCCCTATATTCGCCATTTTGACGATTTAAGCGATATCATTCTTCGGAGTTATTTCAAACTTCGTATTAGAGTACGTAATGGGAACTACAGTATATGACAGAAAATATAGGTTTAGGTCTTCATATAGGCCCCATAAATCTGTACCTCCCTATATTCAGTATTTTGACGATTTTAGGTACAATATTCCTAAGTTCCTAATAGCAGCACTGCTCAAAACCGTGTGCTAGCACATGAGTCCAAAAAGATATTATTCCAGAGAAATCAAAAATTGTATTTTCCTTATATTTACACACTCATTTCAATTGTTTTTATACTTGGATGTTGTCCGAAATGATTAATAAGGCGAATTAAAAAAAAGACATGTATAAATTATATTTTAACACTGGTTTTTTAATTATTAAAAAAACCAAGAGAAATTGGACTGGTGAGCGTGGTCTTGTTTTTGAGCAGCGCTGCTAATAGTAACTACTGCCTGTTAAAGAAAATTATCTATGCAGGTCCAGGTCTTCGTATAGCGCCTTTATAACGGTACACCCCTATATTCGGTATTTTGATCATTTTAGCGTCATTATTCACAGGATTTTTTTTTTTTTGCAATTTTCGTATTTGAATATTGTAATGATAAAAGTTGCCTATACAGCTCCATGTCTTCGTATAGACCCCAAAATAACGGCTATACTCGGCATTTTTATGATTTAAACAGAATTTTTAACGGATTTTATTTTTTGGAAAATTTCAAAAACCGTTACACATGGTGGAGGGTATTCAAAGTTCCGCCCGGCCGAGCTTTCTGTTTTTTTACTGGTTGTAATTAAGCTGACTTCTTCGCAGCAGGTTGCTTGCATTCAGTGACAGTCACAGGCTATGACGCTAAGGGTCAAATTTTTCGCAAACACTTTTGGGGCCTCAGCTACTGGAATTACGATCAACCTGAGAAGTTCATTTTCATCAACTTCGAATCCACCACAGCCACTGTTTCACCGTTATGTATCTTGCATGCCGCTCATTGAAAAGATGTAGAGGATTGAACAACAGTTTAAAAGATAGATCTCTGGCGATATCCAGGGAGTCGGCTATAGTTCCGTACTTCCTTTCAAAGTCTTTGGCAACAAAGTCGTGGAGAGAGAGAGTCTCTATTCTTCCATGGATCATCTAATCATCGACAATTTTAAGTATTCGATAAAAGGGAAACATGCCTGCATTTACCACACAATATTACTATATCCTTCTATGCTGTGAGCCGTTTCAGTTTCCGATTTTGTTAAAATGTATTTAAAAAGAAACGGAAAGATAATTAAATTCACATTTAGAAACTAAATATATTATACACCCAAAAATATGAGTCGTGAAATTAGAAACAATAGAATAATCGATCATAACTTTAATTGTGGATCATACCAGATAAATTGCTCATCATACTCATTTACTCCACTTGCGAAAAATGTGACTTCTGGAGACTCCATTAAAATAAGGCAAAAACTAGTCGAGTTCAATCCCAGTATGATAATAACCGGTTTCGAAAACTAAGAAAATATTTCCAAAATTTGCTAACAGTATATTTTCAAAATACGAAATATGTGAAAAGATTATTTCGAATTTCAACTCACATAAGCCAAAGTCTCGTACTTCCAACTATCATTTTGTGCGAATAACGGAAATTCGTTTTTTTCTACCAAAACATTTTAGCAAAGATCAGATTAACTTTCAAAAATTGCAATTAACATAGGGTGGAACATAGCGTTAGGAGGTCTACTTGATTAGGACGCAATTGTTTGATTGAAGACGTCTATATGTATAGATACATACATATGTACTTAAATGTATATATATTAATTATAAATAAAACACACCCACAACTACAAAACTAAGAATCTTTGATGATGTGGCCAACACGGCATCTTCTGTATGTATGTTCTTTAAAGGTAATTACAGTTGTCTGCAAGTTGATTTAACATTTACCCGTGATCGTGCGTATTATTTTACAACCGTTTTCATACCCGGCATTATATTGGTGACCTCATCCTTTATTACCTTCTGGCTGGAATGGAATGCAGTACCAGCCAGAGTTATGATCGGTACGTAGCATTCATCATAATTATTATTTTCTTTTAGTTAACTGTAGCAACTATTTCATCAACAACAACAAAAAATAAATACTACCACAAGAACAATTACAACTACGACTGTAACAGCAAATAACGATGACGCAACAACCACCATCATAACATTAGGCTAGACTCTGTTAATTATTTTGTGAACTTATTTTGTCATACTTTAAAATCGGAAAAGCCAGCTATGACTGGCTGTTTCTGTCCTCTATGGTTTCTGTATCTACTAAGTACATATGTATATTTACGTGTGTGTGTGTTCACTGTTAGCCCAAACAATCGAAATGTAAATATTAAATTTTTAAGAAAATAATTTACAAATTATAATAAATAATATTCCAAGATTGTGCACTAGACTCCGTCCAAAGTGCCGGGATTATATCGCAATTAATGGACTTACTTTTAACTTTAGCAACTATCGCTAATTGTAAAAGTTTTCCGAAACAAAGAGTTACAAAAAATCAGTGTTTTGTTTTATCATCGCAGCTTTTCTTGTTGTCATTGTCATCGTCTATAAGTGTTGTTGAGGTTTCTCCTTGCGGAAGAAAATTTCCAAAGTTTAGTCTGTAAATTTTCTATGTCACTTGCAACAACAAGTGATTTCAATCCGTCGTTAGTTGTGTCCTTAATCGAAAATAAATAGAACAAACTTTACTTTTTTTTGTTGAATTATTCCCCATCTTTTTTTGGTTTGGATTTCTTAACTCCCATTTTTTAGCTGTGTCAACTTCTGTTTCCTCCTTCATTCACTGGCTTTATTGTAACCCACACATGCATGCTATTTTCCTTCTTCCCTTTCAGTCACACATTTGCACATTGCACAACATTTTTTAATGAAAAAATCCATATTCTCGACAGCAAATTTTAAATATAGATAAAATTTTTTGCAATATAGTTTATATTTTTATTATAGAAATGTACTTTTTTGAATAAATTTAAATTATCTACAATAGAAACCCGAATTCGGGTGGAAACTATTTTACAGTATTTGCAATATGGCTTTGAAAAAATTATATGTTTAACAAAAACGATAAACAAGAACAATATGTTAAACTAGAAAGGAAAGGTCAAAGTCGGGCGTGGCCGACTGTATGATACCTTACACCACCATGTGTATTTAGTAGAGCTGACGCGATAAAAAAGTTTATATTGGCAATTTATGTGAAGTAGATCATTACCAACTATGAACCAAATAATATTGATGTATAGGGCATGACAGACATTGATAAGCGTTATATTTAAAAAATATTTATTGGAGCAATACATATACCGGACCGAGTTTTCACCAAATCTGATATTGCATATATGGT